AAGCTACCAGTTCCCTTCAAAAGAACACAATTTCCAATAAGGTTATGTTTTGCTATGACTATAAACAAAGCTCAAGGTCAAACATTAGATTTCGTTGTAATATATTTGCGCGAACCAGTTTTTTCGCATGGACAACTTTATGTTGCTTTATCTCAAGTAAAGTCTTCAGACAACGTAAAAATATTAATACGCCCGCCTACAGCAGAGGATACAAATGATCATTCTACATATAATGTAGTTTATGACGAAATTATTCGAAAAGCATTCTCATGATACTTTTAAAAACAACAAATGTAACAACTAGCCACCCTCATGCTACACATTCTTAAATTTCAGATCATTTTACTTTAGCTGATTTTTTTAAAGATAAGTAACAATTAATACTTGATATTACTTTATTGTCAATTTCACCTCTATTTACATTTGATGATTTCAAGGTCTCACTAATTTCACAACTATACATTTCTCTGGGTTTTATGTATTTTTCTCATGAGTTTATTTTATCTATGTTCTAACTTCGTTTTGCCCTTGGTCCATTGTGTTTTCCTGTAGGCTTTTTTTCATACTTTCAACAATCTGCTCACCATAGAAGTAACCGTGCAATTGAAGAACGATTTTGCTATTGGAGAACACTACTATTCAGTTCATCTATATCTAAACATTAAGCTTTAAAACACAACAATTGTTGATGAGGACAGGTACCCCCACATCGTCATTTCTTTTTATTCTTTCTCTTTCGTCTTTGTTCTTCTTCTTTTTTGTTCTTCATTGCATCTGCGAAAAACACCTGTGGACAAAAATTCAAAATCTTAAGACCGATTTTGAATCTGTAAAAACTGAGTCACATTTACAAAAAATCCTTTTAATAAAAATCTCCATCGGCACCACAAGCTTTAATATTCACTTCTACAACATGATCATCCTTCGCTTCCAAATCTTCTACCATTTTTTGGATCACTCAGACATCCACAACACGATTTTTAGCAGCTTCTTCCTCCTGAAGTGATACTCTACTTTCCAACTCTTTTAGCTTTTCCAAGCATAACTTCAGTTTTGGCTCAAATTTAGCTTTTCCATTTTTTTCCTCCTCATTTTTCCTCTACATATCCTTCAATCGATTCTCCATCGATTAAAGGATATGCAAAGGAAAAATCAGCAGCTAAAAAAGGAAGAAGCTGAAGTTGAGGCAAAACTAAACATGTATTTGGAAAAGTTGAAACAGTTTGAAAGTACAGTATTACTTTAGGAGAAAGAAGCTGCTAAAAATCGTGTTGTGCATGTCTCACTGATCCAAAAAATGCTACAACATTTGGAAGCCAAGGATGATGATATTGTAGAAGTGAATACTAAAGCTTCTGCTGCCGATGCACATCTTCAACAAAAGCAATTGTCACCACCTGCGCCTCCATCAGTTCATTCAACTGCAAATGCAAATGGAAATGCCAGTGGTAAATGAAGAGATCAAGGTATTATTATGTTTATATCTGTCTTGTTCACCTTTTTTTTTTACAATTATGTACTCAATTTCTGTATGATTTTCAATTAAGGAGTTACAATTATTAACTCATGGTTTTTCTGCTATGCTTAAGCTTTACTTATCTATACATGCATGTTGTAAGTTTTTCTTGCCTTTGGACCTAAACCTAAACCTTTAGCCGAACAATTCCTGCATTACATTTTACGGTAAAAACAAAATGCTAATCCTATACTATTTTTCCTACCATACTAACCAGATGACACACCATTTCATATGTGTGTGTCTCTCTCTGTGTGTGTGTATATATATATATATATATATATATATATACATAGATAGATATATACTTTTTCCCCTTATTTAGAAAGAACAATTAAACTAGAACTGTCTTATTCAAAATTCATGCTGTTTTAGTTGCCAATCAATTAATGCCAAAAAACAGGCAAAATCGTGCTTCGCTTTAGACCTAAAGCTAACTCTTAAGTATATCTGTCGAACTGGGAATGTGGTAGACACTGATATGGTAATTGCATGCAGTCGATGTGGTTTGTATTCCTTTGTTTTTCATTTCAAAATCTACGATTAACATGGTCACATGACTGTAGCTGCAGGCAATAGTAACACAGACTTCATTCCTACAAAAATGAATCTGCTTAATTCTCCTGATGTCCGGACATTGCATCCCATGCCTTTTGCTGGTGGTTCTGCTCAACTGAATACCAATGTTGAATTCCCTTAAATTGAATATTCCTAAATACTAAATCCCTTCATAGGAGATTCCCTGCAACTGGAACATAAAAATACCACTCATACACAACAGCCTGCAGGGTCTGCAGCAGCCTCTGCATTATCACCAGCTTACAGGGATTGCTTCAACTTCCCACGCAAACTCTATATACAGGCTAGCCACTCCACAACATTCACAGACATCCCACACGTGATCACATGTATCTTATATGTCTTCTCCCATGATCTATACAATTTGATACAAGCACGAGCTATTCTCTCATAGTTTACTTTGCCTGTAACAAAAAATTTTCAAATACAGTCAAAATTGTTATCTCACCCATTGGTAGTATTCACTCCAGTAGGAAAGTCTCTCATAATGCTACTAGCACCAATTTATAGTACTTTCTTTCTTCTGCTAATTTACTACTTCTCTTACTGATTTAGTTTCCACTCTTTGCACATCACTTTTCATTCAAGTGTTTTAATTATCATTTAAAGTTTCTCTGACTTTGTGTTTTCCAAGATAGTCCAAATTGTTAATGACTATTCAAACTCATTAACTGCTAGGCCTAGCATTCTAGGGAAATACTTGCTTCTAAGCTTATCCTTACTTTGTTTCATTCGCCTATCATTTCTTCTTTCACAATTAAATATCTTTAAAATATAAAATCCAATTACATATTATACTTACATAACAGCGAAAAAAGTAAATAACAAAAAGAAGCAGTGTAGCTAGGGAGATTTCTTTGGTAATAGTTTCGCTTACTTTCATTTTTGCAGTAGTTTTACTTCCGCTGCTTTGACCTGTTTCCAGGTTAACAATGAGGTACAACAAAGAATTGAACATGCAAATAAAGTGTTTGGTCAAAGTATTCATCCTCGGTATCACTTCTATGTTGCCTTTTCGGTTTCCACATCATTTAAACATTGCAACAACTCAACGCTCTCTTCTATTCAAACGTATTTGTTACCTTCATTGCAGCTGCCACCTGTTATTATTTTCTTCCTCTGCATCTCTGAATATGCAAAGCTTCTTTGGAGTTTATCGATCTTCCAAGCTAACAAAGGTATGCTACCTGTCTTTGCTCTGCTCATTTTCCTCACTTTCCTAGACAATTAGTTGGATCTCTGTTTCCTCTCTTGTAGTTCTTATGAAATTAAATGACTTCTGAATTGTACACACTGCAATCAATGACATAGACATATTATAAATTCATCAACTCAAAGCAATTGTTCTGATGAGAAAAAATTGTAGCTTATTAGGAGTAAATTGCCTATTAATTTCGTCTCCTTTTACATAACCAAATCTTACTGTATATATAGTCATTCTCTTCTACTCTCTATATTTATTTCAGTGGGAACAAAACGGCTCTTATCAAATGTAATTATACGTAAATGGGTTATATGATATAACGGTAATGCCCTCTAAACAAATCAATGTAATATACTGTAGGAGTTCCCTATACTAATGCGCAAATGTCAGTCAATTTTTTTGTTAGTTGCCTTAGTTAGTATTGATTTGCAGTATATATGTCGTGTCAAACTAGAGGAAAACTCCACTCTATGTCTTACTGCTTCTCGAATTTCTACATTGCTCATGTGCATAACAAATATGTACTGAATAGGTCAACGAAAGATAATTCAACAGGAAAGAACAACTTCTTCATTTGTAGAATAAAGTACAGTAGTTTAGCTGAAAGAACAAGACGATATTCTTTCTCCAGGTCCTCTACACTAAAGAGACAGTTAACTTTGGGAATTATCCAAAGATCCAACAACTTTACCCAATGTATTAACCACATATATGCTTGACCCTCACACACGGCTCCTATTTGCGCTTTTACCACATATGTGCCTTTTAATATATGCTCTACTCTTGGTAGGCTGTCATTTCACCTTGTAGTTAATTACAGTGGTCTCAAGAATGCAATCTTCATTTCAATCTTTGCTTTTCCATACTTTTAACTAATACACTACATACTTGCTACAGCTTATGTAGGATTTTCAAACTCACACTTCTTCAGCTGCCGAAATAGAGAACAAACTTCTCACTGACAAACGTAAGTTTCTGCATTTTCCTGCTCTATACTTTTTTAAGCTCTGTTACTGTTTTGGTGTATTCTTCAGTCTACATTGTACTATGTTATTCTGTGTTGACTGACCCTAATTGAACACCAAGATATTACCTTCAATAAAAGAACTTCGCTAAATACTTGCCCTCAGTTGTCTAACACTAAACGGAAAATGAATGCAATCCTGCCTGAATAAACAACTGCTACCAAAAACAATGCCAAAAATCCTAAAAACCCTATTTCTTACCATAAAATACCAACTGAAAAAAGGGTAGCTCTTCTGGCACTATGCCAGCTAGAATACTCTGCTCAAACACATGGTCTTCCCCAAAATCTTGCTCCTCTACACTTTACAAAGACTAACTCTGGCCGTCAAAGTATAACTCCACCGTAATCTACTCTGTTCCTTCAGAATAAACCATCAGCTCCCTAATAATGTGAAATACACATTAATGAATTTCCCTTACTATAGGAGAAAACTACAAGGAGTATCATTGAACTTTCGCATGTCGTAAAGGAAAAAGCAAAGGCAGTAGTAATCTCTGTGTGCTTGTCAACTTATTACGCATTCACATGTATTTTACTTTTAGGGAAATGCATTATCTACCTTTAGCCTATCAGTTCCTGCATTCAATTTTACAGTAGAAACAAAATGGTAATCCTATACTATTTTTGCTACCATACTAACCAGATGAGACATGGTTTGTATACATAATTCTGCCCATAATCATATCAGCTCAAATCATTCACATTTAAAGTCCATAATAATGTGAAATACACGTTCTTTAATTTCCCTTACTATAGGAGAAAGCTAGAAGGACTATCATTCAACTTTTGAATATAGTAAAGCAAAAGGCAAAGACACTGAAAATATTCTTTACTCAAAGGTATATAATATCTAATCTTACATTTAGTTTTTGCACAGTGTCATATTATATATTTGAAGTTTTTACTTTGCTTATAATTTAAGACTATAGCACACATGTTCATTGTAAACACTAGCTTTCTCTACTCTTCTGTATTTCATATGTCATCAGTTAAAAGAGAGAGTTCATATATATATTTAAAGAACACAGTCAATTAGACCATACATTCTCCTATTTTCATTGCAGGTTTTAACTTCTTCTTCTTCCTAATTTTGACAAAATAAACATATATATATATATATCCTAAAGCACATACTTTGTCTTCCATTGTACTTCAGCCGTTTTCAATTTGGAGCAAAGATGAATGTGCTTACTGAACTTCTTACCATCAAGATAATAACAAGCTATAGCAGCATCAACAAACTACTGCAACAATGACATTGTACGCACTGTTTCGATCAACTGCCACCTCATCGCTAATGTAAATCTTGAAGTACCAATACTACAGCAGGTACCACAATTATATACATATATATAGATAGATAGATAAATAATTTTTTTCGTTATTTAGAAAGAACCATTAAACTACAACTGTCTTCTTCAAAATTCATGCAACTTTAGTTGCCAATGAAATAATGCCAAAAAACAAACAAAATCATTACATTAGGTAGTCAAAGGTAATGATTTTGTCTCTTTTTGGACTACCAAGTGTACTGATTTTCTATCTTTTTTGGCACCATTTCATTGGCAACCAAAACCCCATGAATTTCTAACAAAACACATGTAATTTTTTGGTCCTTTATAATTTCTATATTTCTAAAATAAATAAAAATAACAAATTGGATAAGGATAAGGTAATACATATTTTTATATATATATAATAAATATATATATAGAATAATATATAATATTACCCTTATATATATATTACTCATACAACATAAATTTACTAGCCTTTCACTCAAGATAAATTTTTGCTCCCTTTCTCAGGTATTATTTCTTCCCTTTTCATCTTTTCCATCTTCCCATTTTCATTTTTTCTTGCAGATTCTGCTTCTCACCAAAACAGAAAATAAAAATTGATACAATTACAGTTATTAGCTACATTTAATCTTTCATAGATATACCATAGGTCCAGCAGTTTGCTTTTAGCTTCATGCCCAACATGATCAAAATATCTGCAACATAGTTGTTTTGTTTTGTCTTTTTTTTTGGTTTCTTTTTATTGAAATTTTAAATTGTCACATGAAAATTGAGTTTCTATGAAAAATAGGAAACATTTTTCGTAACACTTAATGCTGCCTTGTCACACCCCAAATCCAGATGTGATGGCACGTGTCCATTTCCCACCGGACACGTCAGCCTAACCTAACCACAACAATAGAGAAGTAGAAATACGAGAATAAAAGATAATAAATAAGCGGAAGACTTTAATTAAGACTCAACACTACCCAGAATTTTGTTGTCACATGTACAAACTTCTAAATACAAAATTCGAATAAAAATATACAAGTCTCAGAGTATAGTTCTCGAATTTGAATAAAAATATACAAGTCTCAGAGTATAGTTCTCGAATAGAACAAAATTGAAAGTAAAGATAACTCAAGGGCACGTCTGGAATGAACCGCTACCTCTCGAGTATGTCCCGAAGCTCAATCTGCTAAAGAAAATACTAAGCCGAATCTGAGAGAGCTGTCAACCTACACAATTGTGTAGAAGCAAGGGTGAGTACCGAAAACCACAGGTACTCGCAAGTAACACTAAACTAAGCTAAACTAGCAGCTACAAACAACTCCTTTCAATCCCAACCGAACCACCGAAACTTCAATCTAGCAGCAAACCAACCAACCTATACTAAACAGATCATATTCAACAGCCAGAACCAACAGTATATCCTCATCAACCTCAGATCAACAAATAAGAGCAAGTAGATCAAATTTCACATAAGAAGGGTAAACCGATACAATCCACACATCACAGACAAAGATAAGGCAAATGCGATGCAAAATGCAATAATGATGTCATGTAGTCGTGATGCATGTCTGTCCTACGATACACATCTGTTGACGTAATCAGTCCGCGTTGAATACTCAAATCAGAACCCACGGGGGCCGCACATGGACCATGTATCACCGCCGGAACCAGATCCCATCGGCATCCAAATTGCTAGCCGGAGCTAGTCCATCTCATATATCTCTAGCCGGAGCTAGTCTCAACTGTGTCTCATATCCATCCATCCTCATATCAGTGTCTCAGAACTCATGCAACAGATAGTTCACACATGGGATGAATAATGAATATGCACATGTCATCAATCACAATCATATCACGATCACATCATAGTATTACACATCATCTGTTTCAACATCAATGTCTGTATCAATCATAGCCTACTCATGCTCTTCTATCCCCTCAATATGAGTTATCACATGACTTATTCAACAAATTCAAGTCACATATAACACATTTAGCTCGTTTTATTCCCCATCTTTCATTTACAACAATTTCAATCAACAAATAAAACCCATCCTCAATCCCCCTTACTCCCCAACACAATTAGGAAAGTAGTCATGCGTAGTCTAAGAGTTTTACAAAGTTTGGAAGCCACTTGCCTTAAAACGAACTCCAAAAGTTACTTGACTTGAGCCCTTTCCTTTCTGAGTATAATCCGGATCACGATAATCTATTCAAACAATTATTCACAATCACAATTCGAGTCCAATGACACCAAAATCAAGAAATTTAGGGAAAAAGGGCAAAACGGTCCAAATGTCTCATACCGGAAAACGATACCCAAATTTGGAAATTTTTTATGTAAAATGATCCTTAAAGTATTTGGAAGCTAATGGTGAAAACCAATTTGAAAACGGAGTTGAAATCAATTCACAAACTCAATTTGAAGGAAAATCCACGTTCTTGAAGAAGCCTAAATTATTCGGATCCGAAACCCCGACTCGAAAATGAAATATCTCTTGAAAAACATCTTACCCATGCTTAGATAAGTTCAAATATGAAATTTCATCAAAAACGGAGTTAAGATCGACCTTGAAATTCTCAATTTATCAAACTTTAACTTTACCGGGAAAGTTCAAATTGTACGCGGTTAATATGATGAAAATAATCGATGAATCAATAATTTTATGTTAAAATCAGTTTACCCATAACATAAGGATCGTAAATATACCTTTTTCATCAAAAAGGGAGTCCAAATCGATAAAACCCCAATTTTTCCCAAGAGGTTTACGGATAGGGAAAATAAAACCAGATAAAGAAATTATGAGAAAATGTCGAATTGAAGATTGAATACTAACCCTCATATTAATTCAAGAAGAAACCCGTAAGAATCACTCCATTCCGATCTCTAGAACTCCCGATATGCTCAAAATACCAAATGAACACAGTCTGAGATTTTTATAACAGTACATGGCTGTTATGCACCAGAAAAACAGCAGTTAATCTTTCACTAAAAAGGCCGTAATTTCCTCATACGATAGTGAAATGACCCGATTCTTTTTTGTAAATGTCTTAAATAATGATACGGACCTGCTCGTTCAATCGGAGCTCAATTTCATGCTCGTTTGCCCAGTCAAATATCATTTCTACTCGGTAAACAATTATTTCTTATTTGCGATAAAAGTCCAATCTCGGGTTAGCGAAAATGCACCAAAATTTGCAGATAAGTCCTATAATTCATGCTCAAAATTTCAGAACCTTCGGAATAATTTTTCGACCTTTAAAACTAATAATGAACCCTTTAGTTGCCACAATTTGCTGAAATAGTGTCAAAGCATCCAAGAAGCTTAAAAGCTCACCCAAAACTCATTTGGCACTTCCCGAACACAAACCAAATATGCTACTAGCTTGAAAATGACATTTTGAACTCAATAAAATCGTCGGAATTTGAATTTGAGGTCTCCTTGACCCGGTATCCGATAAGGCGTCAAGAAACTAACTTTAGGCTCAAAAACTCGAAACGCACTCGGGGCCTCTAAAAATTCAACCAAGACTCATTCTAGACTTAGAATCATCCCCTGAAACCAACGGCGCCCTCGGAATTTCATTTCGAGCACCGGAACCTCGTTTTGTTGACCAAAGTCAACTCTTAATCAAAATTTCACTAATTTTTGCAACTTAGGACCTCAAATCTTCATTTTTAACTCCAAATTCGAATCCGTAAATTATCATAGACCCGTTTCGACATTCTAAAACTGCTGGTATCAACGGAAATCCGATTCGAGTCTCGAAACTCCAAATGACTCGAAATAACACTTTTAACCAAACTTTAATTCTTAAAAACTCAACTTTTCAAAAACTCAACTTTTCATCAATTTTCCTTCAAACCAACTTCGAAAATACAACAATTAGGACTCGGGGCAACTATCGGGAGGGGTAAAACAGTCATTTTATGAAAATTTCCAAAAAAGACCTTTAGGGTCATTACATGCCTTTGGATATAAATATGACAGATTAGGTCTCTTCTACAAACTGTATCTTCGATGATACTAAGACATACATAAGCCATCACATACTCGCTTCAGTAAAGTTTTTCATATTCTGCAACATTTTCTGTCGTTGTAACAGATCTTCTGTGAAAAAAGATTTCTCCAGTTGTACTTTGCACATTAATAATGCCTGCCAAATGATTTTATGTCTTCATTGAGCTCCACTAAACAGCCCTAACAGATTTACACATCACTCTACTTCTACTATGACAACACTGTTGTTTTCTTTTTCATTTGTTCTTCACTTTGTTTTTTTTTGGAACATACAAAGTTTATTATGTTTCCGCAGTTTATATCTCAAGCGACCCAATAGTAAGAGGTACAACTCTTAAGTACTATACTTTGTTTCGTCATTTTGGCTGTAGGTGCTTTCTTTGTATCTAATTATCAATCTCCTACTTTCGCATTCTACAATTGTACAGCTGTACCTCATCATTGACAAAAAACTAATAACACATAAATGGTTACCAGATCAACATAGCAACAAACGTAAATAGTATGATACATCCTATGTCATCCTTTATGAGTTTGTACTTTAGCTTCAGTGTTTGTCCTAACTTGCTGTTACAAGAGTTTGTTAGTGCTTTGTTACTACATCAAAAGCTCATTTATGCAGCTACAAGGTCCATTTTACTCCACACTGCTGCTTTCATTCAACTCATTTTTTCCTAATTTAATCAGCCCTCTTCATAAAAACACAACAACGCAACTACTTTGACTTAATATTCATGTTATCCTGCATATACTACTATTTGGTTACCTATATTTCTTACAACCATGGTACTAAGACTGAACATCGACCAAATAAAACCAGCAACACAAGATTGGATTTGCAAAGTTCAAATTGTCGAAATAGGACGCCCCCGAGAAAGCCTTGACAAGAAATGTACATTCCAAAATTTAATTTTGGAAGATGAACAGGTCACCTCATTAGTGTAGTTTATGTTATAGCTATTGCTCTTTTCCTCTCAACTTAGTTAATGTCAACTTTCTATAACTCTTACTTTCAGGAATGCCAAATTAGGGCCGTTATGTACACTAATGAAATCGAGCAGTATGCAGCTAAACTTAAACTCTTCAATACATACCTCATCTCTACTGCAAGAGTGAAAGTCTCACCAACCTCATACGGCAAACCAATACATCAATTTTACTGGATTCTTGACAAAGAAACAGTAATTGAACAAATCAAACCATCTAATGAAGTTGAAAAGCCGCTTCCACCGCCAACCAAACTGAATATCACCAGTTTTGACCGCATTCCTCATCTAATGGTTGATTCTGCTGCTGAAATAGGTACATCGATCGTCCTAGCTGTTATCAGACTGAAATACACATATTTACTGCTGCACAACACTTGCAACATTTCATTATGTGTTATATACGCGGATGTACTGGCAGTCGTTCTTCGTTGTGGCCCTCAAAAAAACGCCGGTCACAGTCATCATAGGTGTCGAGAAATTACCCTTTGTGACAATCAGTAAGTATAACATTTGACATTCTGCTTTCCCATTTTCTGCAAATGTTTTGAATAAGTAACCACTTTTTGCATTTCTCTACTCACATCATCAATTATTATCTAGGCATTATCATACTCCTTACTCTTCTGCCCTTATGTCCTGCACTCTCAGGCAAAATCAGTTCCTCTTCACTCTATGGGAGGATTTCGGAGAAATAGAAGGACACAAAATTTCTTCAAAAATGGCAACAGAGACAGATCTCCTTGTAATTCTTGGAAAAAGTATAGGAATCTCTACTTATCAAGGTACATATGCGCTCAACTTCTTACCAACATAATTTTATATTATAACAAAACAATATACAACTTATGTGTTATACAGGGCTGTCACTGCAGACTAGGTACAATTCCACAGTACGGGTGAATCCAAATTACCCCCAGGCAGTTGCACTCCTCAACTGGTACTCACATTTCATATTTATTCTTTACCTTTACTTCGCATGTAAAGAACCTACTAAACATATTATTTGTTCTAACAATAGGGCAAAAGAAAACAAAACAATGTTGTTAAGTTCTCCATCAGATACAACCTCAACAAGCTCATCTATCACTCCCATGATAGTCACCCCTTCTGGCCAACAACTTATCTCTATTGCAGATATCTCATCAGTACCTTCCATAAGTCATACTTAAACCTGCTCATTTGACAGTATCCTTATTCATTTTGTCGTTCTATAGCTTTGCCTAAATACTGAAAACTTCCCACATATGGGAGTGTTCTATGTTCAAGCAGAGATGGCCATATTAGATGAGTTCCAAGACTTCTGTGTGCTTGAATGCTCAGGATGCAAACAGAAGAAGCGAACAAAGGATAGAAAGGATTTTGACTGTCCAAAATGCAATCGGAAAACATCCTTAGTGCCTCGGTACTATACTTTTTTGACTTCTAACTTACACTTTCTACAAAATATAGCGTATATTATACACATACTTCAAACTTCCCCTCATTTCAGCTGTAGCTTCCAGATTGATCTTATTGACGATACTGCTACAACCACAACATCTATCTCTGCTGAATTAGGAGAAAAATTACTGTCCATGACAGCAGAAGACATATTTGACATAACTTGCACTAAGGTTATCTCTTATTCCCACTACCTACTTGTACACACTTATTGTCATAATACCATATATCTTCAGCACAAACACTTGACCACATATGCTTTGTTCTAAACTGTTTGTTCTAACTTGTTACATTTACAGCGACAATCATTGTCTCTTAATCATGTCCATGAGATGCTGTCAAGCAAAATATTCGAAATTCAGCTAAGGAAGTCATCTTGGAGCAGCTCAAATACCACGACTACAACTTTGTCCATTCTTTCCTACATGGAAAAAAACATATTACACAGAGCGCTACTGATAGGACTTCTAAAAAGATAAAGCCTTTGGAAATAAGTGAGGTAGAAGTGATGGCAACAACTGCTGCAGCTGGTCCTTCAAATGCACTAGGAAAATTTGAACCACCCACACCAACCAAAAAGGTGTAACAGGTCAGTCTACATCTCACTTTCACACCAAACTATGGCTCAAAATGATTATAACTTCCACATATTTACATTTACTCCAAAAATTGCTGCTAAAAATCTGTACTTTTAGCTGTAGTTTACTTTCTTTCATACACGTATCCACATAGTTCCTGTAAAACATTGTAAGTGTCATACTTATGTTATACTACTGCTTTTGCACTTGCTCTTGTCTGCTTTCAAATTTCACAATTTGGTTTTGTTTATGTCTGACATAACATTGCACACTCTCACATTAATTCCGGGCTAAAAACACTCTATCCATGTTCATATCCATGCTCAAATCAATTGGTTGACAATTTCTTTTTACTTCCTCCTCTCATGTTGACTGTTCAATTACCTTATTTTAGTTACAAGAATTCACCAATTTCATTGCTTCACATTTAGCAGCAGCTCTTTTGCACACTGACACCAATTTTTTACTCCTTCCTATTTGTACTACTTGCAGTAGCTCAACTCACATCCAATGAAACTACCTTTCAACTATAAACAACAGAATTAGACTTTTGACATTTTATTATGAATAATGTTGCTCACATTCAAATAAATGACCGTCAAACAAATCCTTTTGTCTGCTGTGTCTTTCTGATAGCATAAAACTGTACCCTCCCTTTGCTCTTGCGTTAATGCTTGTCATTTCACACTGCAATATAAGCCTATTTACATGTTTCTCTGCATACCTTGCACTGCATACATTCTTCTACATTATTCTTATTCTGCTTTCTTATAATGTCATACACTATAATACACAGTTATCAATAGGAACAATAGAAACAGGGTTTCTGTCTACTAGCTAACCTCATTCACCGTAGACTATTAAGCCAATCACACACAGATTCAACAGCAAATCTATAAGTTTTATACTGACTCCATGCTTTCCTTTGTAATTGCTCCCTTTGTTAAAATTTCTTTGCTATCTGTTGCCATATTTGCACTTTCTAACATACTTTAAACTGCCTAATTATAGGAACTCCCACACACCATTTTGTCACTTCTCCTTATGCTAGGGACAATATAATGAATGATTCTCCCTATGCTCTGGTTTTTTGCATCAGCAAGATTAGCTATGGACAGGCAAACTGCAGTGTCCTCTAAATATGATAGACAATGACATGCTAATCTTATATACCAAAACTGCAACATGTACTATATTATTATTTTGGTTATATTACATTAGTTAGTATGTCTATTGTACATATTCTGAATATTTCTAATAGTGCATAATATAATAGATCGTATTATCTATCTTCTACAAACGCCCTAACCCTTGATTCATTAATATTACAATATTTTTACAACCATAATATTTTTACTATTGCACGGGCCTCCCCACCCTAGTATATATATATATATATATGTGTTACTTATGCTGATGTTATCCTTGTCAGGGGCTAGTTTTTGAATAAATTATGGATCCGTTTAATACGAAAAATGATGAATAATTAATTTTAAAATATATTTATCACATATTTGATTGAAATAAAATTGCAGAATTATTTATTTCGTATTTATGGTGTTATTTTTATTCCAATACGATAATAATTCTACAATAGTTAATCTCATAATAACTTGTTCTCCGACCAAACGAGCCTTTTTATCCACTTCTCATATTCCATTAGGTCCCAAATGGAGGCCATTTCTTGTCTGGTCTACTTGTCGTTTCCAAATCATTTTAATGATATCTTGAGATATGTTTTTAATTTTTTAAGGAGGAGATAAAGTATAAAATCTATTGTGACTGTGAAATTTATCTTTAATTTTTCTAATTAAATTTTAGGCAAAAAAAAAAAGGAGGAAAGAAAAACACAATAGAGTAAAAGCTAATAAAGAGACTTTTTAAAATTTTCTTTACAGATAACATAAAGTGAAACAAATGAGGAAAAACATAAAATTTGACATACGAGATGTCACACCCCAAATCCGGATGTGATGGCACGT